TCTTAACAATGTTGATTCTTCCACTCCATGAGCATGGAATATTTTTCCATTTGTTTGTGTCATCTTTGATTTCTTTGAGCTGTGTTTTGTAGTTTTCATTGTAAAGATCTTTCACATCTCTAGTTAGGAAGATGCCAAGATTTTTTTGAGGGGGGGCTGTTATGCATGGGATTGTGGTTTTTATTTGGATTTCTGTTTGTTTATTGTTGGTGTATAGAAATGTGAATGACTTCTGCACATTTATTTTATACCCTGAGACTCTGCCAAAGCCCTTTATCAGTGAAAGGAAGTTTTTGACAGATTCTCTTGGGTTTTCGAGGTATAGAATCATGTCATCTGCAGAGAGGATAACTTAACTTCCTCTTTTCCTATTTGGATACTCCTGATCTCCCTCTGTTGTCTGATTACTCTACCTAGAACTTCCCAAAGGGATGGGTGAGAGTGGGTATCTTTGACTTGTTCCAGTTTTCAGTAGAAATTGTTCCAAGTTTTGTCGGTTTAGAAGTATGCTGGCTGTGGGTTTCTCGTAGATGGCTCTTACTATTTTGAGGTATGTTCCATCTACGCCTAGATGTTCAAGGGTTTTTATCAAGAAGTGCTGAATTTTATCAAAAGTTTTTTCTGCATCTAATGATATAATCATGTGGTTTTTGTTTTTACATCTATTGGTGTATTTAATTACGTTTTTGGTCTTGTGAATGTTGAACTAACCCTGCATTCTGGGATTGAAGCCTATTTGATATTGGTGGATGATTTTTGAGATGTGTTGTGGATCCTGTTTGCTAGAATCTTGTTGAGTATTTTAGCATCTGTTCATCAAGGATATTGACCTGTAGTTCTCTTTCTTTGTTGGATCTTTACCTGGTTTGGGTATCAATGTGATGTTAGCTTCATAAAATGATTTGGGGAGAGTTCCATCTTTCTCAGTTACCTGGAGTACTTTCAATAGGTTGGTATCAGTTCCTCCTTGTATGTTTTGTAGATGTCTGCTGGAAAGCCATCTGGTCCAGGGCTTTCTTTTGTAGATAGTTTTCTTATTACATAGTCAATTTCCTGGATCATTATTGGTCTATTTAGGGTCTCGATTTCTTTTTGTTTCGACCTGGGGAGGTTGTATGATGTCAGAAAGTCCTCCATTTCATTTAGGTTTTCAAGTTTGTTTCCATACAAGTGTACTTAGTAGTCTCTGATAAACTTTTGTATTTCTTTGGGGTCAGTTGTGACTTGATCCTTCGCATTTCTGATTGTGTTTATTTGGGCTTTTTCTTGGTCAGTCTAGATAGGGGCCCATCAATCTTGTTTATCCTTTCCAAGAACCAGTTTTTTGTTTCATTAATTTTTTTGTATTATATTTTGGTCTTCTATGACCCAAATTTGGGCTTTTATTTTGGTGATCTGAATTCTTCTGCTGCAGTTAGGGATTTTGTGGTCTTGCTATTCTAGCTTCTTTAGGTGATTTGTTAGGCTGTTAACTTGTGATTTTCCCATTCTTTTGATGTGTGTTCATAGAGATATGAATTCCCCTCTTGGTACTGCTTTCATGGCATGCCAGAAGTTTTGGTAAGGTGTTTCTTCATTTTCTTTGTTTCCAGATATCTTTTAATCTGTGTTTTGATTTCAGTGTTGACACAGGAGTTGTTTAGTATCATGCTACTTAGTGTCCATGTGTTTGTGGATTTGGGGGGATCTTTGTTGGTATTGATATGTATTTTTATTTTACTGTGGTCTGAGAAGGTACATGGCAGTATTTCAATCTTATGGAATTTGTTTATGCTTGATTTATGGTGGAGGATGTGGTTGATCTTAGAGTACGTTCCATGTGGTGATGATTAGGATGTATATTCCATGGTTGTTAGAGTGTTCTGTAGGTATCAATTAAGTCCGTTTGGTCAAGAGTCACATTGAAGTTCCATATCTCCTTGATGGTTTTTTGTCTCGATGATCTGTCTAGGGTTGTGAGTGGGGTATTTAAGTCCCCAGCTATGATAGTGTTAGAGTCAATATCTTTTTTTAGCTTACCAAGAAGCTGCTTTATAAAAGTTGGTTCCCCTATGTTGTGTACATATATGTTTAGGTTGGATATTTCTTATTGCTGGATTGAACCTTTTATCATTATGTAGTGACCTTCCATATCTTTGTAAATTTTTGATAGCTTAAAGGGTATTTTTGTTTGATATTAGGATTACGACTCCTACTTTCTCTTGTTCTGCTTGCCTGAAATTTTGTTTCCCATCCTATTACTTTGAGTCTGTGAGTGTCCTTTCTGGTGAGATGAGTCTCAGCATGGGTCAGATGCCCCACAGATCGCTGTGGGAGGAGGATGGATCAGACTCGGACTCACCCTCCTTGCTGCTGCTGCTGCTGCTGTTTTGTCTCCCACACTGATCTGATGTGTCTGCCTGTTCCAGCGTAGGGGAGGGGTATCTGTCTCTCTGAGTTTGATGAGGAGATAACCAGGTTGGAGGCTGGGTGGAGCTGGATGGGGCAATGCAGGTCTCTGCCTGGTCCTGGGACAGAGAAAATGGCGCCAGTTGGCAGTTCCTCACCAGTGATGGGGCTACTTTCCAGCTTCCACAACCTGCTTTCTCCACAGATCCCAGGGCTCCAGCAGCTCTGCTGTCACAGGTGATAGTGTGGACCAGGTGCCAGGTGATGAGGATCACCTTTTTTCTACTGCCTCGTCTCAGGAGAACCCTGAGATCAGCAGGCAACCTTGCAGGCTGGGAGCTCCAATCTCAGGGTGGTCGGGGGTTGCAGTTACCTCTGGAGGAGATCTCCAAGTGCATGAACTCAAGTCTCTCCTCAGACAGACTTTCACTCACCCACCAACCCATACCCACTCACACAGAGAGTCTTTATGGACACTTGTTTTTGTGGAGACTCTCAGAATCTGACCTGTTTCTTCACCATCTTGCCGGAAATCTCATTTTTTCCTATGGCTGAATAATATTCCATCCATATTGTACTTATCCATTTAACAACTGATGGATGTTTAGGTTGTTTCCTCTGTTATGAACAATGTTAGTATGAAACATTTGCATACACGTTTTTTGTGTGAATGTATGTTTTTATGCCTTACCTAGAAGTGGAATTCCTAGGTCAGTGGCAATTTAACCTTTTAAGGAGTTGCCAGAATGTATTCCAGTGTGTCTTCACCATTTAATATTCTCACCAGCAATACTGAAGGTTTGGATTTCTCCTAATCTTTACCAATTTTTTTATTATGTTTTTGATTATAGTTATTGTATAGGGTGTGAAGTGAATGCAATTCTTGCTTTAATTTGCAGTTGCTTAATGATTTGCAGTTGCTTAATATAGTTGGTTATTTTTTTTGTTAATTAAAGCAATGACAGTTGCTTTAATTTGCAGTTGCTTAATGAGTATCTTTTAACATATCTTTTGGCCATTTGTGTATCTTTTTTGGAGAAATGTCGCCTTTTGAGATCCTTTGCCCACTTTAAAATTGAGTTTGTTTGCCCATTTATGATTGGGCTGTAAGGATTTTTTAGATTTATTCTAAATATAAGTCTGTTATCAGAGATATTATTTGGAAATATTTTCTCTCATTCAACATATACTATGAGCTTAATAAAGTCTTATTGAATAAATATTTGAATGTCCAAAATTATATTTCTATTACACTATTGTTATAATATTAGAATTTAGTCAGTTATATACCAATTTTAACTTCTCTCCTTAAATTATAAATGTACATTAAAACAAATTGACATATGTTTTATTATTTTATTCTTTAAAATTCATTATTATGGTTGATGAGGTGTTTAAAATCTGTCATTTTGGCGGGAGCGGCGGCTGGGCCAGGAGCAACAGCCCTGGAAGACCCCGGCCCAGTGAACTGTTAAGATGAGTACAACCTGACTTTGAAAAGAAATCAAGTCCTCTGACACTGGATGCAGAAATGAAATCAAGGATATCTACAATACCCACCACAGAGGATTCCTGAGGGCCTGTTCTGAGTGCAGCAAGCAGCCCAAACCTAGGTCCCCAGAAGATTAGTCACTAACTACCACTGTGGAAAAGCCTGGTGACCTCCTTGTGTGCTTTGTCTGAAGCCATTTATCAGGAACAGCCCAGGTGAAACGTGATGTTTTGCTATTTATTCATGTGTTGATGAACAGTGGGGAGCATCCTGAGAGATGAATCCACAGACGATCTGGGCTTCGTGTGAACATCATAGAGTGAACTTACATGGGCCTAGATGGCACATCCTGACTTCTGCCTTAGGTTGCATGGTATCGTCTGCTGCTCCTAGACTGCAAGAAAGTACAGCACCCCTTAATCCCACCTTTCCTCTCCTACCACAGCCTTGCCTGGATGGAAGGCCAATCTTATCTAGTAAGCCATTGCTTGTGCTGAAGAAGAACCAGCCGGCAAGCCAGATCACCTAATAAAGGCCACAGAAGTGTATCTGAAAGCCTGATGTGGGCACTGCCCATCTCCCCTCCATCAGTGAATACAAGGATATCAGACTCTTATAGGCCACAACTCTGGGAATAGGAGAGTGTTACAATTGTTTTAAAATGATTTGAAGCTATCATTTTAAATGCTGTGACTTTTGCTTCCTTCCAGATGTTTACATTGTCTTCCCCTTCCTGTAAAAAACATGTTGTAAATTACAGAATGTTATCTAAATTGTCAGCATGATGAGGAGACTCTGAATCATGTAAGTGGCCATGTATAAGAAATTGTTCATGTAAATCTTGATCATGCTGAAACTGCACATATGTAGGCTTCAAACTCGGGCTGGGTGAAGGACTATGCATTTAAAATGTAAATACTGGAATAAATTTGTGTTACTTTGAGTGGGTTTTTTGGTAAGGATGGTGACCCATCTCCCTGTAAACTGGTTGTAGAAATTAAACACTCCTTTTTCTTCCCCTCGCAGAAAAATCTGTCATTTTAATGAATGGACAAATTATAAAAACAGGGAATATAATTTTTTGTTTAAAATATTTGATATTTGATTTTAAATTTTATAGATGGAAAAAGTGGAAGAAGACCTAACTAGATCCAAATCTCTTCGTGAGAAACAATCAAAAGAGTTTTTATGGCAGCTAGAGGATATCAAACAGCGATATGAACAGCAGGTTGGTCTTTCATTTTGATGACGCCATTGAACTTTTTAATACATTTTTACTCTCTTAAAATCTCTTTAAATCACAAAATATCTACATAATGAAAATATTACTAAGAGCTGTTATTACCAATATATCTGAACTATTTAAAGTAATATTTCTTTCAATAAGATCCAGAAACAATTTTAACATTGCACCAAAGTCCATTCTGACAGTTTAATGTGAATTTTTAATTGAAACATTTATTGTGATTCTTGTGAAACATTTATTGTGATTCTTGTATTCTTCTATTTATGTCAGAGCACTAGTTTGACTTACTCACTTATGTGAGAAAGAGTGATTGGTACCTCCTATGTGCCAGTACTGTTGCTATCACTAGGTCACTAGAACAGTGATGGAGAGGACACGGTTCCTTCTCTCACAGAGCTTACACTTTGGTAGATAGTCACTTCATCAGTTAAAAGATAAATACTTTTGAAGAGTAATTTCTTTTGAAGAAAAAAGGGTGCATTCATAGACTTCACCAGGTAGAGAGTGGTAAGGTAGTCGCCAACAGGGGACAGGGCATCAGGGAAGCCCTGACACTTGTGCTGAGAGTGAGTCCAAAGATCCTCAGAAGCCGGTAAGGTGGGAGGTTTAAGGACCACACAATGACAATGAAGACCAGGTTAGCCAGAGTGTAAGGAGAAAGGTGCCAGCTGCAGGAAGTGAGAGGGAAGAGACAGGTTGGCACTAGGATGTAAGGAACTTAGAATTTGTCCTCAGTGCTCTCCTCTTACTTAGTAAGAAAAAGATTTATTTTCTCCTTTGCAAATATATATGTTCCTGTTTATTCCCAGAACATTTAAGATGGCTATTAACTTTTATTTGTTTGTCTGATTTGCTTACCTTGTTTCTTTAACATCCAGAAAAGCATTAATTGGCTTAGTTATTCAGGCTAAGAAAATTTTTTCTAAAAACAATATTTAAAACCTTTTAAGTCTTGAAACCTGAATAATTTTGTATGATTACATTTTAGTTCCCTATTGATCAGGTACTACATAAAAAGCTAATTAATCCCTAGTGGTTACTGAATTTTATTTCCTCCCTTAATTGATAATAATCATTGGCTCACTTGAAGTTAATGTGAAGGAAGTCTGATCTGTCATATGTCTTTTGTTCTGTTGTTGTTCGGATCTTAAAGTTTTCGTAGAAATACTTGCCTAAGTTATTTCCACTGGGATGGGGTAAAGGCAAAATAGTTATGAAGAAAAAGTTGTGACTTGGTCCCTCTTTGTTGTTTTCATTATCTGAAATAATGAAACAACTCCATTATTCTGTCTAGGTACAGCGTGCTCATGCTTGAAGACGTACCTCATGTTCCAGCTCTTCCATCAAATGTTACATGACTGTTTTAACCCGTATCCATTTTTTCTTTCCCTAAAATTATAGCACTTACCATCTTATTATTTTGTATACTTAGTTCTTACATGTTAATGTAACACACAGAGTTGTTTTTATACAGAAAGGAGGTCAGTTTACAAGACAGCAGATACTTTCACTTATATTTCTTCAACCTCTATTATATTATATTTCTTTTTTTTTTTTTTTTTTTTGAGTTGGAGTCTCACTCCGTGTCGCCCAGACTAGAGTGCAGTGGCACACTCATGGCCACCCCAGCATCAACCTGCTGGGCTCCAGCAATCCTTCTGCCTCAGCCTTCCAAGTAGCCAAAACTACAGGTGTACACTGCCATGCCCGGCTAATTTTTTATTTATTGTAGAGACGGGCTCTTGCCAAGTTGCTCAGGCTGGTCTCAAACCTGAGGGCTCAGGCAGTCCGCTTGCCTTGGCCTCCCAAAGTGCTGGAATTACAGTGTTACATTATATTTCTATGACTGAGTTCCTAATAGAAACACAATTCATTGTTGTTGAGTTGATTTGAGTTTATATCAACAGATGTCTATTATCTATATATTAGAAGCTTGAAATTTCAATGTCTTTAATGTGATCATCAGGGGAAACATCACCTTTGTTTGGTTGTATGTGTATTTTATTTAATTTTAAAAATTGGCTTATATGTTGCTCTCTTATTAATCCTAGGTGGTAAAATGACTCACTCAATGTCATAAGCTAAATAGGTTAGAGTTTTTAGGAGAATCCAGTTTCTGATTCCTCTTGTTTCTTTCCTTTTGCCATGCTGCCAATATTATGTTTCTCTGATACCTCCAGGAAGATTTAAGCATGTGGCTAAAAGGATTTTAATAGATTGGCAGTAGTGGGTCACTGCCAGGGCATTAGAATGGGGAACATATCACTAATCAGGGCGCCTGAGCCCAAATCAGGCAAAATGAGGACCAGCGGGAGGTCCAGACTTCACCTGTGTGATGACCACTGACGTTCCTAACCCTGAGTTATACCCACATGTTTAAAATAAAAAGTTGTGTAAAAAGAAATGTTTGAAACCATACACACACATAAAATTTTTAATAGTAACAAAACAACTGTACATGTAAGTGATAAATTTAATTTTTATAGCTCTTGGTTGGTACTACCTTAAAATTCCTTTACTACACAGAAAATATGAAAGTTGCATACCACAAAGGAAATAACAAAGTATCTGAACGGTAGAAAATGAAAACATAATGTCAAAACTCATGAGATGTAGAAAAAACAGACTTTTAGGGAAATTTATAGTATTGTGTGCTCATGTTAGGAAGAATGAAAGGTCTCAAATCAATGATTCAAGCTTCTATTTTAGGAAACTAGAAAAAGATAAGCAAGTTAAACAAAAATAAGCAGAAGGAAGAAAATAACGTAGGACAAAAATCAATAAGAACAGAGCATACTTGCCCAAGGACACAGTCCTTAGTGGCAGAGCCATGCTTCAGCCCAAGTTTTACAGATCTAAGTTCCCTGGTCATAACTGCTCAGCTACACTGCTTCTTAACCTCATCAGAAAACAAAGGTGAAGAAATCCTCAGAAAGCAGGACAAAAGGCAGAGAAACAGTAGTTAAGAGCCTGAATGAATTATCCAGGGAAGATGAACATCACTATCCAGTTAGGAGTCCAAGGGAGAGAACAGAGAAGTAAGATAGAGGGAAAATTGGTAGGGAAATAACACAGAAGATTCTTCTCAGAGCTGAAGGAAAAGAGGCTCAGTAAATACATCTCTGTGGAATTTTAGAGCACCAAGGACAAAGGAAAAATCCTAAATAACAAGATGGAAAACTTTGATTTCAGGTGAGATCAACCCTCAAAGTTGTTTTTGTTTGGCCATCCATGGGTTTTTTTTAAGTCAATTTTTAAATGACTTGTTACTGTTTAAAATACACATGATTTTATACAAAATACAGATTTCAGGCTTGTCTTGGGACCTTAGTAAATCTGTCAACTGTAGGCCCACATTTTCCCATGGCAACAGTCATCTGTGATTGAGAGACAATTACTTCCATGATATAAGGGCTTGTACTTGTTGATTCACAATAACCCTTTTTACTTTCTGTATGTTTTACAGGCACAGGCTTCATAAGATTATGTTGCAAGCCTGTTCCCTGTTGTCCTGTGAGTTTGAAATCCCTGCTAATACATGCAGAGAGAAAAACAGAATGTGTACAAAGGAAGAAGAGTCAAATTCATTTCAGACTGTTAAACAGCAAAATCGGATCCTCAAAAAAGCCTTCAAAATTCTGAAGTCAATTTTATTATTAATCATGTAGTTAATCTTATTGTTAATCATTATTACTTCTCGTGCACTTTCTTAAGAAAAGGGCTGTTCTCTAGAAAAATGAGAGTAAACTGAGGAAAATGACACCTTGAGATCCAGCATCGTAAAGAGCAGTGGGGAAGGAACAGGACGTGAGCTGTTTGGAAGCCTGCAGAGCAGTCAGATCCTGTGCAGTCAGGGAGACAGAGGTCTCTGAGTGAAGTTTTCAGGAAAACGAGGTCCTTAATATGCGGATAGCTTAGTTTTGCTTTGGTAAATGTGATCCTAAATTTCAGTGGCTTAGAACAATGAAGGCTTATGTTGCATTCATGCCATGTATGCTTTGAGGGTTGACTGCAGCTCTGGTCCACGTATGTCATCTTAAGTTCCAGAGTGAACTATCCAAAAAGAACAGTCTGGGACATTGCCATGTGAAACGAAAAAGGAATTATGTTAGCATATGCTGGTTCTTAAAGTTTAGGTAAGTGCATTTATACGTCCATTCACATTTCCTTGGCCAAAGCAAACACGAACTCACTGTTCATCCTCCTGTAGGAAGGGGTGTTCCAGAGAAGACCGTCAAATGAGAGTGAGCATAATAAACTCCCATGCTTATTATGATTGTAAGCTTAGAACATGTAAAACAGGAGAAAACATTGGAACTGAGTTCCAGAAGCACTTTTCATCAGGTAGCATAAGTGTTATGATACTGGAGCAGTAAAGAAGGAAATGGAGTCTTCCCAGAACATTCTTCATTGAACAATATGTCCATAGTCACAATAATTAGATGACATTTATAGTGTCCAACTTTCAAAACTAGTTTATCATTACAGCACAGAGCATAAATGTTACCAACTTTGCTATTGTAACAGTAAACATAGATGGGACACAGGTGGAATATTACGGAGCCATAAAGATGAACAAAATCATGAACTTCACAGCAACCTGGATGGACTTAGAGTCTATAATACTGAGTGATCTTTCACCAAAACAAAGAACTTAGTATCACATGTTCTCCATAAGTGGACCTTGAACTACTATCATAATACTATAAGGGAAGGATTGACGGTAGTGGGAAACTGTGGGGCGTGGGGTGGGGAGGTGAGATTGGCAATAGTGGGAATCTGTCTGGGGAAGTGGGGGCATACCTCATCAACAAGGGTACCTGCACAATGAGTATTTGTATACTTAACCCTGACTTGTACTCCGCAATTTTAAAATAAAAATTTTAAAGTTAAAAAAAAAGAAATAAAGCCAATATAAGAGGAAAAAAATATATAAATGAAAATAAATCTAAATGATTTATTTGCAGCATAAAAATAATCAATAGATGAAAAGCCTAAAAGAGAAGAAAAGATATAGAAGATGGAGCATTAGCAAAGTATTTACAAAGGTACCAAAGTATCAATAACTCCAGACTTTCTAACCACAAAAGTCAACGCAGTGGAAATATTTTATCAGATTATTTGTAAAAAATGGTGTAATATAAGAATGAAAAAGCTAATTTCTGGTTAATATGTGATGGAAAGGAGGTTGCTTAGCAAACTAGTTTTAGAAACTAGGTGTAGAAAATTATATTAAGAAGTGGAGCCTGGGATGGTTGGGTAAGGGGTAAGGGGAAACATAATAATTAATCACATATAAATAACAGTATTAAGGAAAGGCAAAGAATGTTGCTTTCTATAATGCTGTAGTTACAAAGTATAGTTGAAGTCATTTTTGGATTAATGACTATATTATAAGCACTAATAAAAATTTTTTAAAATGTCAGTTTCTCATAGTAAATTGGTGAAGGAACAGGGTTGAAAGAAAAACCAAATTTAAAAATCTTTATGTGACATAAATACTAATGAGAAGTTACTATACTGTAGGTAAGTATAAGAGATTAAAGTGTTCTTCATGAGAGTTTTAAAATTATATTTTCATTTTGATGATAATCATATGGATGACAAATTTACAACCTAGTGTCATTTCAGTGCCTGATTTGCATTTATTTTGTGACTATTTTGGCACAACTCTGCCTTTTAAAAGTTGGACACAATAAGCAAAACCACTGAGGAAAATTTAAACACTTTGAACTAAATAGAAATTATTTTAAGTTAAAAAAGTAATTGAAGAAATTGTAATTGCCACAGGTATCTTAGGCAAAGAGTGATTCTCCTTATTAAATTAAGAAGTGTATAATACAGAAAAATAATTAGCAGATAAAGTAATTTGCACAAATGATAAGAAAATTATTAGTGTCCCCAATAATGACCTGGCAAAGAAAAGAAAGAGATAAGAAATTAATTAAGGGAACAACCATGTAGAAACATCTTCAGTCTTGGTGTTAATAAAAATGCAGATTAGAATTAACCGTGATATACTATCTAAACTTGTCAAAAGTTTAGTGAAATTGGTACTTTCATATACGTTGGTAGCACTATAGCCTCTTTGGAAAGTGTTTTGGCAGTATCTACCAAAAGTCATAAAAAATTTATTCCTCCAATTTTCCTTAGTCTTGAAAATCAGACAGGATATAAAACAATAATGTTAATTATTTTTAGACGAGACAGTCATGGTGAATTCTTTTTCTGTACCGCTACTTTCCACATTGTGAAAGTAGCACCTTTTAATGTAAAAATATATTTATGTAAATTTGTTTGGAAGCATATTAAGCTTCAAAGTCTTTTCTCAAAATGATAGACTTTAAAGTCTATGAAACTTTTGTGTTTATATTTTGTTGATCAAAAATGCTTAGCACAATAGAGGATATTGATGAATTCTTTAAATAATTGATAGTATTAATAGAAGCCATGCACTATTGCGTCTATTTTGCTGTTTCCTTTTTTTTTTCATGAAAAAGGTAATACTAATGTGGGTTATAACAGGGATTTTTAGAAACCATGCAAGGATATTTTAGGTTGGTGCAAATTCCACCCATTTTTATCCTTCCTGTATCTACAGTCCTGTTGATTAGAACCAGTGAGGACAATGAAGATCCCAGGCAGTGACTCACAAAGGAAAGCTGAAGGCACGAATATGAGCAAGGGTATTTTAGGCAAATGCTTGTCGATGTGATCGCATACAGACTTTTTTAGGTAACCAGTCTTAGCAGAATGTCCTCTTTACTGTGACAGCATTTCCCTGGTCACTCCAAATTGTGAGGTTCTTCACTGTGGAAGTTTATCGTGACAAATGATAGGCGAATGTAGCGATCTCTGCTGGCATTAGAATACTAGAAATGAAGCCGCTTAAACTAAGCTTCTTTTCTTCTTTGAACAGGGCCACCCGGCTGGTAGATAAGAAAAGGGGAGCAGGTGGAATATATCTGAATTCACCGAGCCTTATGACAAGGTGCTACTTGACGGCAACATGGGGAAATATGGTGTGACTATTGGTGTACTTATGTGGCTAAGTGATAGTTCAGAGGGCCATCTCTGAGTGATTTGTGTCAACCTGAAGTGCAGTTTCTAAGTGTCTGTCAGTCAGTGGATGATGATTAGGGATTTTCAAAAGTTTAGAGTTTCCCAATGCTTAGAGTTCTGAGGAGTGTTAATATGTAGGATAGGAAAAGTCAGTTCCTGAAGCTTTAAACAGGCTGGAATTAAGAAGATTACATTGATTGATGTGAATATAAAATGCCATGCTTTGATGCAGAAAATCAGCTGCAAGAGTGAGAGAGGGAGAGCCAGGAAGACAGAAAGAAACAGAGATAAGGAGAGGAGGGTGCCGAAGACAGTGGAATGAGAGGGCTGGAAGACATGGACCCAGGCGACGGTGGACATATCAAGTCACATAAGGCAGAGGCTGATTTTGGTCACCGTGCTTAGGCGGGACTCTGGCAAGCTGGAACCTGTTCAACAACGTCAGAGGGGATGTTCAGAGGGAGAGTATATGTCTGTGTTTGCAAACGTGAGGTCTGTGTTACAGGAAACACGTGGCTCGTCTGTGTGAGAAGAACCCAATACGCCCCTTTACGTAGGACCTCCCGTGGCCAGCCATGCTCTGAGTGTTTCACGGGTGTGAGGCAGTGCCCGTGGTTGACGGTTCACATCTTCTTGTAGAAACGGAAGGCACGGCCAGTTAAGTGAGTGGCCAGGGTTCCTACACGATTAACAGGAGGCAGGATTAGTCGCTGAGTCTGAGCCGTGACCCTGCAGGTGGAGCTCCAGAGGGGCAGAAATTCTGCCTGTGTATAGATGGTGCTGTAAGGAATATTTTAAGTTGTTTCAAGGTTGGTCTTTTTTGAAGAACTTTTCAGATGTGCCGTGGTTTGTCTTGTGAGAGAGCGTTTCTCAGCATGAGTGTGCTGGAATCTGTCGGGCTGTTACGGAGGCAGGAGTGCTGTGCTTTTGGGCTGTCCTACCACGATGGTCTCTTTCAAAGCCAGGATTCTGTGACTTTCTGTCCATTTGCCTGGTTAGACTCTCAGCCCCTCTCTACAGACCGACTTTTCCGGTTCCATGGATTCATTTACTTACATACCTGTCTAGCTGAATTTCTTTATATCTGGGCTTCTTCCTAGTGGCTCGGTTGCCATTCAGATGCAAGTGTGAAAAGATTTCTATTATTTTGTCTAAGTTTTCTCTAAAAGGTAAGATTTAAAATGTCATGGTTTAGCATTTCACACCAGGAGGGGACTCCCATGCTGATCACCCAGGCCCTTGCTTCCCAGACCTGAGTGATCCCTGGGGAACACCCGAGTACCTGGGGTGCGGGTGGCCACAGACGTGTTTCTGGGAGTGCTGGGTTCCCTCGATCACGTCGTGGGGAAGCAAAGTCGGTTCACCATTGAGCCGACATTCATATTGAAACACACACACACTTTCCTGTTTTGTAAAATGCAAAGTCCTTATGAATTCTTAAGATGAAATGGGGCATTTCAAAGAAACTTTCAGCTTGCAGAGGCTGCTTCAGGCTGTACCCTCAGATCCCCTGGGGGCTACCATTCGTTCTCGGTGCTTCTAGGAGTACTGTGGTGGAAAAGTTTATAAACCACGTATCTGGTTTAATGCTGACGTTGTATCATGAGGAATTGACTGACATTAAGAGAAAACGAATGGCTTGTGCCTTCTGGGCCTCAGTGTCCTTCTTCAGTTTTAATTTTCGAGCTCTTCCCTGGTCGAAGCCTCGTGCCAGGAACTGTAATGAAGTATTTTTAAACCCCTTAGCCAAAATGAAGGCATAAAGTGTACAGATGTAGAAAGAAAAACATCAAACACATGGGACAAATGCACAAATATCCTGTAAACCCTTAGCTTTCATCAGGATTTCCTGCTTCTTTCCTATATAACCCACTGGAACAAAAAGACAATTCTCACTGTCTTTTCACAAACCACATTCAAGTTGGAAACAAACAACCAACCAGGCATGTCAGGATTTCCTGAACTATGGAGGTTTTTTTGGCAACCCCATTATATCATTCCTTAATCTTATATTTCATGTCTTTTTTTCACTGTGAAGCCTTTAAAGAGAAATGTAGCCCAGCAGATAGACATGTCAAATTCTCCAGAAAGAATAAATGCTTACTGTCAATGGTTACAAAAAATACTGAAGGCCACACCGCTTACAAACTACCATTATTGGAAATTTAAAATATCGTGGAAGTCAAGACAGTAGCAAGGACAAAGCAAGTTATGCAAGCTAAGCAAGTGAGAACTTTTAAGTTATGGCCAGTTGGGACAGTTAAAAAGCAGATAGCACGTGAGTCCCAATTCTTTCCTTTGTGAATATTCTAGCCTTTAATTGTCTGGGTAATATAACCTAAAGCCACGGGAGACAATGGGAAGCCAGAGACACAGGAACAGGGAAGCTACTCACCTCGGTACCTAGGAAGGCGGAGACACTGTCAGGGTGGAGGTGCTGGCCTCAGAGAAGATGGCCGGGGTCTCCTGTGGCTTGAAATATGTATAATTCACTAGAGATCAAGTACGTTGCTTTTATTCTTTTTGTCTTGCACTTGTTCACCTTATCCTCTTTTTTAAAAGTCTTTTGCTTGATCTTTTCCCAATTTGTAAACAGTCATGCTTTAGCCCCTAAACTACAGACCAGCCCCTCTGCTCCTCAGTGGAGATCAAGCCAATTGCATCCTTGATCTCGTGATGCCTCCAGTTTTTGAAACTGTATCTTTCACTCACCATAGAATCCAGGGCGTGAAGCTCTGTTACAAGTCGCACACTGGCCCTGCAGGCCGCAGGTCAAGACTGGATTCCGGGCCCTCAGGCTGCCCTATCGAGACCAGTGCCCTGAAGCTGCAGAGCGGGGGCTCATGGGTCCAGGCCGAGGGTGCAGACCCTGGATTCTGAGATGAGCGTCCATGTTGAGTGAAAGGCAGTTGGAGCAGGGCCTCCTTGTCCCTTTTGATGGCCCGAAGCGTGTCTCCTCTCAGTTAAAACAAGTGGCACCTTTCTCTAGCGTGGGAACTACGAGGGCAGAGACGAAGGCGCTTCTTCTCAGTAACTGTGGTAGGAGGGCTTATGTCGGGTTTTAGCGATACCTCAGTTATCAGTTTCTCCTGGATACAAACAGCTCCTTCTCCAAACACGCTGAAAATATAGCATGGACATAATGCCTTTTCAGGACGCTGTGCTAGACACTGTTCGTGGTGCTTAGGACATGGCAGTTATTAAAGTAAGCGCTTGCCCTTGTGATGGAGGAGAGAGCGCCTCCACCTCGGCCACGGGCTCTCTCTGTCCTTCTCGGAATATGACTTAAGGTGAGCTGATGATTGCCTGAGGAAAACAGCGGGATGAGGTGTCGGTGGCTGCGGGCCTCATCAGGCCGGTCGCGGTGGCAGGCGAGGCCGCACTGCAGGTCAGGCCGACAGGGAGCGGCTCCGTCGAAGGAAGCGAGGCGAGGCGAGGCGCCGCTCGGGAGCTGGAGGCGAGGGAGCCTC